GTTGCTGTACAAAACCTTTTCACTTGGTATTCACATTTCTATGGAATTACACCATCACCACATTTCTGTCGTTTTAACTCCCAGGTGTTCCGGTACATCCTGAACTTCCTGCGGCAGGGCTGGCTGCGTCTGCCCGAGGGCTTCCAGGACATCGACATCCTGCAGGACGAGATCCAGTTCTACGAGATCAACCAGCTGACGGAGGACATGAAGACCAAGAAGCTCAAACCGCATAAAGTCAAGGTCATGCCATAGACAAATCCATGGAACCGGACAAGATGTATTACTTAGGATGAAAATATCAGGCTGAATGGGAAAAATTTGGAAATTTACTAATAAGGACAAATGTGGAAACTTAAATACAGAAATGTAGAAATCTATAGAACAGAAGCAAAGTCCTTATACCTTCTGTGTATGTTTGTTTGGTTTCGTACGATCTCATAATAATAGTGATACATCACTATTCTTCTTTGTGGCCAGACTAAAATAATACAAAGTTTAACAACAAAAATATCAGTGTGTGTGTACATGTGTCTTCTGGTCGTAGCTCGATTGCCCTTATTTTTCACATGGTAAATCCTCAGTATCAGTCTCAGCTGTATCAGCTTCATTTTATTTTATCTTATTGCACGTAGGCAAATAAAAAAACGTTTTGTGTTAAAGTCTGTTATATACAAATATTAAATTGTATAACAATTAGTTACTGTAAAACGATACTTTGACTTTGCATCAGACATGTTTATTAAGAAAATTTAAAAAGCTATTGTAGGATTAAACTAACTAGGAATCATATTGTTTTGCATTTGTTACATCATCTAACAAAATGCATCTCAACATCTTAACAAACCACGATAGCATGCCAACGCACATGTTATTACTGGGCTTAGAAAGAATTAATTTCATAATTGTCAATAGTTATCAACTGATACCTACTTGATCATCATTCCAAACATAATTGAATGGTAATCAAAGATGATCAAGGAAAATATTCACTTAACAAAGAAGAGATATCTAAATAATATATACAGCTCTGTGTCTGAAGAGTCAATGTACATGTAATAAGGCTGCCTTGTCCTCCTGACGACCAGTGTCAGTCATGGGACTAGGTAAGGTACATGTAAGATCCCTGAAATATGATGGCATCTTCATTGAGCTTTGGACAGGGAGATTAACGAGTTTGGGTAGCCTCTATCAGACCTTTCTGTCAATTTGAAAAAAAGTTGTAGAAGTTGGTCAAAAGATAGGTAAATGGTCGGGGGACATGAGTTGTCTTGGAGAACAATCCATTCAACTGATGGTTGCAAATGGTAACTCTATGGCTGGCACACTCCTCATCAACCGATATTTGGCCAACTTCTACACTGACTGTTATTCTTGCAACTCATGGAGTCTGAAAGGGTAGAATTTGGGTAAAATTTTGCTGCTCATATATAGCTAGGACTAATAATATTTTACGTTACCATTAAATAGTTACGATCTTCACATAAAATTC